CACATAAAAAGTGATGATGGTGGAAAAATACACCGAAACGTATTTTGATTGATAAATAGAGACAATAAATGACTGAAACCCAGGAATGAAGTTGATTTGGAATACTTAACAATACATATAATAGGGGTTAACACGTTACGACAGCAGCGTCTACACCGCTGCCAAACAATAAAACTATAAAGAACTAAACAATATGAAAGGGGAAATATAAACGGAGGAACGAAAAAATTTCAATTGAAAAAACCTAAAACTAATTGTACAAAATATAAAATTTAATATAAATACTAAGATCACATATCGTAAAAAACGCTCGTTTTGATGGGGCTTTGAAATGCGCCCTTATCGACTCAAACTCATCATTGTTACTAAGTTTTTAGTTAACTTAACAGATTTATCAAACATATGACACCGTGTAGCAGGTATTTTCTACGATTGAACTTAAAAATACGGAATGCTTAAGTACTTAGAGGCAAGTCTTGAGATATTTCCTGTAAAAAACACTAAACCGTGTGTATCTCACCTGGTTGGTGGCGGCTGGTTTGAGATTGAACATCGATAAGACTTCCTACTTTAATACTTGAAATCTGCGGCTCGTGAGGCTCGACTAACTCGCTAGTGTTACTGGGAACATCTGCTTTACTGATGTTATTGGGTAGAGGAACTGATGGGATTGCAGTCGCGTTTTCACATGCAGCGATTGACTGTTCTTCAGGTTCAGCGGCGATTTCTTCGACTCCCGTTTCTTTGGCTAGGCCTGGTTCGGGACTGACAATGAGATTACTCCACCAGCTGGAAAAAGCTCCTTTAGCCTGCGAAAGCGCTCCTCCTGCAATTACGAAAGGTAACTAACTGGCCTAAACTGCTAGCTGAAGTTACCTACCAACGGCTTTACTGGTGGTGGCGACAGCTCGGCCAGTAGAAGTCATTGCTTGCCCAAGCTTCCTGCCACCTTCCGTAGTCTGCATTGTACTGCAACAGACAAACTTAGCCAGATTTTCGCCAATAGTCGCAGGACTTACTGGGCAAAGCGCAGTTTCATATCAGCGACCGACAGCTGGCCAGCGAACGGATGCCCGGGATGAACATCTAGAATCCCCGCATGATTTCCGCTCATCCACATTTTGTAGTTGTGCGTCTCTTTCCAGGCCGATAGGAAATTGGCGTTAAAATGATCAGCTTCTCGGCCTCCATCTGGAAAAGTCCCATATAAACCGCGGATCTAAAATCGCCTTGAATCAACCAACCTGGAAGAATCGACGTCCTCATCAAGCACAGCAAGTAGACTCTGAATTGCGCCCGAATCCACTCATCGCCGCCCTCATAACCGACGCCATCCAGAAAAACGTCGTGTCGTTCTTCGGATACATGCTTCACTATATAGTCGGCAAATCGCAAGTCTTCCGTGGTCAAATGCAGGTATTTCCGCAAGGTGAGGTCCTGGCATTCTATCCTGTAATTGAACATTGCGTGAGCTTCGAAAGGGGCAAAGCTTCGGGTTTACCTTCCCGTATCAATGTCCACTAGAATGTCGTAGAGTTGTCGCTTTTGCTTGAACAGAACGTTTGTGGCTCCCACCACGTAGCTTCGCACGTTTACATCGGTTAACAAGTCCAGATAGGGCAGGGACAAGTAGGGCAAGCACAGCGAGCCTTTGGTGAAGATCGGCAGCGGAAATCCGCACGTTTCAGTCGCAATTTGAGTTAGGTAGTTGATGTTTGTTTGAGCCGAGTCGGAGATTGTGTCCAGGCTCACGTCCCGGCGCAGACTGTTGCTTTTCTCGCCTAAACCTGCGAATACCCAATAAACCTCATCCGTTTGTCATCAGATAACCCATTCTAACCGTTCTGGTCCTCTTTGCCTGGATTGGGGGATTCTGTTACTTCTAGGCCATTTTCCACCGACTCCAGCGGGAGGTTTTGATGATTTTCCAGTATATGGTTTGATGTTGTTTCGTCTGATTTTATCACATGGTGCTCCGCACAGTTCATTTCGCCATTCTGGACTTTTTTGGGTGAATTAGTGGGAGAATCTTCATCGGGGAACTGCGGCATTGGGGACATTGGTCTGGATAGGCTAGAATATCGCACATTAAGGTGGCCGAGTTGAAATAAAGTGCGGACGACTTACCGAATGCAGGCTGCCTGGCTCAGGCCCTTTTCAATCATTTCAGGGAAGAGGGACACGAAAGTCAGTATCGTGGAACACAAGGGAAGCACCGGGGATTTGTAAAATATCACCCGCTTCTCCAAGAGCAGCAGCTTGAATAAGAGGACCGCCTTATGCTTCCACTGCAGCACCAAGTCTCTGGTCGACAAACCTTAAAAGAGGGGTTAACTTTTTAATTAAAATTTTAATGAGTTGAGAATTTTCTAACACCGTTTGATGCCTGCGAATGTACACAAACCTTTCACAAGTTCATACCTACGAATGTTTGCTGTCGAGTATCAGACTGGCTCAAAACAGCGTTCAGGTGGTGATACGTATCCTGTAGAATGGACACTTTGCTGAAATCCCCTTCGTCGAAATAAGCGTGCGTTATCAGGGCCATTTTCACCTGTATCTGCCCATACAGTGGTATTCTACTGAGTACACATACAGACTTCTGCACAGTCGTTCTGGTTATATCAGAAGTGAGATTCTTAATTTTCTGCAACGACAAAGAACACGGTTTGAGGGAGGCACCAGGTGCGACTCAATCAAGACTTACTGCAACGGGAATTTGTCGAAAACAGGATATCCCAAAGACTGTTTGCTTGGGGTTGGTGAGACTGGGCAAATGGAAAAACACTGTGTCTTGCTCGTAGTTGTGAGAGCCATCAGGAAGGGCCAAAGTGGGCAAGTATTTCCAGCCAGCGGGGCACTCGTTCGGAGCCCCCGGCACAAGGGGCGGGAATGAATACTCCACCTTAATTGATCATTGGAGGCGCGTAATTTATTAAGATAAACACCATGAAATAAAACCGCCCTCAACACTCACCTGGCATCCCTTTTTGTGATGGAAACCTACCACCAACACGTACAGAATGGGGGTCTCTGACTCATCCATTGCTAATGAAGTCCTGCCAATGAAACATTAAAAACAACACAATTTTTTTATTGTTTATTGATAATTGCTGGGTCAAATCTGTCTGACAAAACACTCTTGACAATCAGCTGATTGTTGGAAGGAAGCTGTGCATTAGCTGCAACATTGCCAATTGTTCTCAGACAAGGACAGAAGCACGGATGCTGAAACCACAGAACATACCCCCTACGAAAATACTCTTCTATCAAAGTAAAACTGTTAACTGTATTTTGTTTTGTGACCAATATTAAAATTTGTAATTGCTTATAGAATTTTTGTTAACAGCATATTGCAAAACACTTAATTGATCGAGAACAAAATGAAAGGGCAAACGCCACAGAGCGGGAAGCGGGAATATAAAATAATAAGTGCAGTTTTTTAGAAAAAGGTTTGTGTTTTATTCACAGTCACACATCATTGCGACAACGGCAACAATGCTGAAAATGTTAATTTCGATTTTTAGTCCGTGGTTATAAGTTATATTTTAATTAATTTATTATCCTTTTAATTAGTTTTTCATTAGTTGTAAGTAACTCTTGTTGTTGAAAAATTACATCAGTAAATACTTAAATATGTGAATAAACTAATAAGATGAAATAAAGGATCTTTTTCTTTCGTTACATATATGTATGTATATTCCCTGAACATACCATATACATTCACTGAACATAC